GGTATGGAAAGACGGCCAGCTGTGGACTTGACCTTCCAAGTCGAGAGGCTCCTCAGATGAGATGCCAGCTCCACCCGCACTCCCCTCTACTCCTCAGAGCCACGTGGAGACATTTTTTGTCTTTGTTGTGCGTGAGATAGTCCACTCCTGAGTGTGAAAGGGGAACCTCAAGTTTTTACGCTTTGCTGTCCACATGTGCTGGCTTTGATGTGTTTTTTGTTAAAATTTGACTGCACCCAAACCTAGCTGTTAACAGCTTGAAATGGCTGTATTGGTACAAATGATGTTATTTTGGGGCGGGTTACTGCAGGCCAGTGATGGCGTCCACATGCAGCAGATGTTGGAAGTGTTTGGTGAGTCCAGCTGGAGGAAAGCAACAGTTGCTTACGAAATCTCAGAGGAAGTGTTGACTGCAACACTAAGAAAGAATAAAAACCATCTGATCTGACATCACAGCAGTCCTACACACACACACACGCATTACAGCTAAGCGCCTTGAGGCAACTGTTGTTGGTTCACATTTGCAATAAAGAATTTGATTGGATGACAAACATTACTGTCTATCACAGTTTCTGGCTGACGTTTGCATTCACACTCAGATCCTGACAATTGTAGCCAGCTCACAGTGACTGTTGGGAGAAGGGTAACTGAAGTGACCCGTTGTTCTCATTTCCATCTCTATATTTTTATTCTTGCACTCTACTAGAGTAGCTTTGCAGGATTCACAGTTCAGAATAATCCCTGTTTATCCCATACTGGGCCTTTGTTCAGCTCCCCCGGTTAATCTATGTGAAAGGAGCCATTTTTACAGTTTTAAACCGACTTTCTTCTGTTTTGAAAACAGAAGATTTAACTGGCAGGTGGGAGGCTGTGGTTCTCACCACCATAGCTGTTCACCTGATATGACACGAGTAGCAAAAATGTGTCTAAAATTGAGCATTTACAGCACCCTGAAGCTTTTATTTGAAACTTTGTCCGTGTTTATGAGCGTCCACCAGGCATTAAATGTCTTATAAATCACTGTTATGCTTCATATAAAACATGCAGTAACACTTAAAAATAGAATTTGTCCAAGTTCATAACACCATGCCAGGAAGTACAGTCCACTGCAGGGAACTTAAGCAGTGTTGTAACAACAGCAGCAGTAATCAATGACGCTCCACGCAGCGAGCAGTGCTTCAGCCCAGCCCTTATCTGCTGCTGCAGATTTGAGCAGAGCTTCCACATAACACAGACTTGAATATCCATGTACAGACACCCTCTGTGCTCCAGCAGCGTACTCTAACCACCCCCACCCACCCCAACCTCAGTCCACCCACTAGTCTCACTGTCTTGCCTGGAGCTCTGACTCATGATTTAGTATGGATGACACAGTCCAACTGTCTACTGCTGGAGGCTACAGGACCACTTCATTTGTGAGCTATAGAGAAGCACAGTACAGATGTCCTCTATGGTATAGGATTGATTATATTAAGACAGTGTGTGTCACAGTGGGTTGGAGTTGTGAACCTCTTTCTTAAAATAAATGATATTGGTTTTTTTACCTAGCAGCTTTTTTTGTGAAGACTGGCAGTACAGAGAAATATTACTACATCTAATGACCCACCGATCCCCTGTTTGACCTTAATAATGTATCGCCCTTACACCGCACTACAATTCTCTTGCACAACGCAGCCCAAAAACATCTTTCTCGAGCAATTTGGGGGCATGTAATCAAACTTTTTTGACTGAAAATCCACAGTCCAAAAAATCCACAGCTTAAAAATGAAGCGCAACAATAAACGAAAACATCACATAACTATATTTAAACCAGATGGAAAAGGTGGCGCGCAGGGTGATGTTGGTCCCGCAGGATACTGTGCACCCTCCTCAGACAGCGAGTGGGGAAGATATTACTGATCTCTGGCAGACTTGTTCCAATAATTCTGCCAGCTTCTTTCACCACCCGCTGGAGTGCTTGCTGATCGGCCTTGGTGCAGCTGGGGAACCACACTAGAAATCCATACGTCAGAACGCTGCTGATGGCACAGTTGTAGAAGTTCAACATCAGAGATCTGGGAATGTGTGCGCTCCGCAGTCTCCTCAGGTAGTAGAGGCGCTGTTGGGCCTTCCGTACAACTGAGGTGATATGGTTGCCCCAGGACAGGTCCTCGGTCACAGGTACCCCCAAGAATTTAAAACTGCTCACCCTCTCCACCGCCTCACTGCCAATGAAGAGAGGCAGATGGTTGTTATGACCCCTCTTCCGGAAATCTACAATGATCTCCTTGGTCTTTTTGGTTTTTAAGACCAAGTTATTGTCGTGGCACCATGACTCTAGTTGTTGCACCTCTGTCCTATAGTTTGTCTCATCATTGTTGGATATAAGTCCGAGCACTGTGGTGTCATCTGCAAACTTAACAATGAGATTGGACGCGCAGGAGGAAATACAGTCATGGGTGAAGAGAGTGTATAGCAGAGGGCTCAGAACACACCCCTGAGGGGCACCGGTGTTGACCACAAGGGTGGAAGAGGTGTTCTTACCCACTCTGACACTCTGTCTACGGTTAGTGAGGAAGTCCACAATCCAGTTGCACAGAGAGGAGTTAAGTCCCAGTTGGTGGAGTTTGGGACGGAGTTTGTATGGCCGGATGGTATTAAAAGCCGAGCTGTAGTCTACAAAGAGGAGCCGTGCATAGGTGTTCCTGTGTTCCAAGTGCTTCAGTAATGTGTGCAGCACTGTGGCGATCGCATCCTCGGTTGACCGGTTCTCCCTGTATGCAAACTGGTGCGAGTCCAGGGATGGTGGAAAAGCAGCTCTGATGTGTTTAATGACCAGTCTCTCCAGGCATTTGGCGGGAATGGGGGTGAGTGCCACAGGTGTTCATTCCTTAAAATGTGCCGCGTGATGCACTAGATTCATTCTTTTTCATCATTTTAAGAAATCCTGCATGCTGTAGTACCTTCGCGCCAAAATTTTTAGCGCCTCAACACAATGTCGTTGCAGACGTGCTCCTACGTGCACGGGGACAAAATATTTACAATGACCAGCTGTCACACTTAAACCAATGACCGCTTCTTGCTTGAGCGACATCTTACTGTTGGTGCTCAGTAATAACAGTTCAGTGATGACTGACAGATGGTAGTAAACATCCTTGAGTCGCAACAAAAGTCGCCAAAAATAAACAGACACAGCCTCAAAGAGGAGATTTATGACTTTGCAGTTTTAGTAGTTTTACAGCAGATTGCTTCTTGTTATTCCATAAACTAAGCCTAAAATCCCTTCGCTGCAGTGACGGGGGGATGGAGACAGGATCAGACATGTGAGAAAAGGGATAAACCAAAAGAGGAAACGTATTTCCCAACAGATCAATGGGCATAATCATACTCTCGTCCCCTCCCTCCCCTCAGTTTATTTTCTCCCTCGTCTTCCCTCTCTTTTTCCTTCTCTTGCTGAATCCCCTCATCTGGGGGCTCAGCTGTTTTCCCCTGCAGCTCGTCTCATCCTGCACTCAAATGTAGTTCAGTGTGTCAAGCACCACTGAAATATTAACACAGCAGCAAGCAGAAATGCGTGCGAGCATTCGTGGCTTAGTGCACCATCGTGATGTAAGGGAATGCATCCCTCTCTCCAGACGTGTACGTGTGCGATCATTTGGGTTAAAGTGAACTAAAGAACAGATGAAAGTTCATTGCTTAACAGTTTTAATAAAAAAAAATCAATGCCACCATGTTTTACTGTTGAGAGAAGCATTAAGCATAATCATACTAAGCGTAGCTGGTGCCAGGGGGACTCGCAGTGTTTGTGTAGCTTTAGGATGTGCACGCCACTTTGACAGTTGACTTTAAGGTCTTAAGGGGTCTTTGAGTGCGACTTAGAGCAGCAGGAAGTGAACAGACAGGATAAATAAACCAAGACAAATACTGCGGTGCTTCCTCGTCTCCTCCCCTCCCAATTCCTTATAATCAGGATGTAAAACACGAGCAAACACAGGAGGCAGATGGGATAATTGTGTAGGCTTTTAATGAGATTTTGTCCCACATGTATAAAATGGCCCAAAGGTAGCACAAGGACTACATAAAACTAAAGATTTGCAAATGTAGAAGCAACAATATTTTGAAAGTGACCTAGAAAAAAATATTTCCTTTCCTGCTTTCATCTTCAGTCTTCCCGATCGCAGTCCAGAGACATTTTAATCAAAGGCCGTTCTAGCAGATGAATCATTCCCTGACATTTTGAAAAAGCCTGTGTATGATCAAATTGTGGGGTTCCATTCCCAGTATTTCTGTGTGTTTGGCAGAGCGGGCAGCTTGTGATCAAGTGCAGCTAATCTTTGGTCAGGAAAGTGCTCCCTATTTGATGTCTTGGCCTAAAAGGCTTAAATCCTCCCATGTCCTCGGTCTGTTTTGGAAATGGAGATTTTTAGGAAGCCTTGAGTCAGGCCACTGGACATTTCAGTGCTTTTTTCCTTTTGTTTATTTAGTGTGTTTGTGTGCGTTAGGCAGGATTTCTTATCATATTTTCAGTTTATTTTGTGGTTTTACTGCAATATCTCTCGCAGACTGTTGTGCATATTATATAGCATCCATTTATGTGATTCATGCGCTTGTTTGGTCTGGGGTTTTTTTTAGCTGAACTAAATAAGCATTGAGCCATATTGCTGCTTGCCTAACCATGGAATCAGACTCTCCCTCTGGATATGAAGGACTGCCTTTAGTGTAACCCACTTATTTTTGCTATTACTTGTCTGAATCCCTAAAGGAGTCCCATTTTTGTGGAGTGGAAAATGAAATGGGTTAATTCGTTTTTGGTATGCAAATGTGGGATTGAAAAGAGGAGGCAAAAAAGGATTGGGAAGAATTTGGAAATCCAGAGTGGCTCGGAGGAGATCAAGCAAGTGACTGAATAAGTGAGACAGATGCACGCACGAGCCTGTGTTGCACCGAAGCTCAGCATTGGTTGAAGCTGCAGCAGAGCTCACACAGCATCCTTCATCCCCCCCATCCCTCGTTCTTTGCTCTGCCTCCCTCACTCACTCACTCACTGTATCTCGCCTGCTGACTGAGGTATTTCTACAAGCACAGACTGGGACAGCCTTGACTCTTCTGCGCGAGGTTTGTGAGTAAAGTCTCCAGCTATTCCTCTCCCTGGATCCTTTTCCCATGGACTCTGATGCTCTCTGTGTGGGTGAGAAGTTGCGGATGTGGATGTCAGAGTAATATCATGGACCAGAGGGGAGCAGGAGACAGTGAAGGAAACTGGGTCACTGGCAGGCTCTCCTGACTGATGCCTGTTTGGACCTGGAGGGATGGGGTGCACCACCAGCGCGGTTGTGTTTGATGGGCTGCGTACTGTCCTGGAGAGGAACTGTAGTGGCTACATCTGCAAGGAAGCAGCAGAGCCCACTGGACCGTCTGAGGCTGAGCGAGCACTGAGTCGGAGAGAGTCGCGTGTATTGCCAACACCACGAATACTTAAGGTGTGTGTGTGTCTGTGTGTCTGTGCACTCTCTCTAACCCAATATAGTAGCTTTTTATTTTTCTACCAACAAAAGCAACACAACTGTTTGTGTATTGAGCAAAAATCCATATGGAAAAAAAAAGCTTACATTATTTATTCATTTTTTTAAATCACTATAATGTTAAATGCCTCAAGGACACAGTAACAAACCTAATATTTATTGATTTATCTAACCATCCAACCCATACCTTTTTTGTTTAGTACTGTGGTATTAAACAGGCCAAAAAAAAATCAACAAGCAGCACATTTTATTACAGTCTTATTTTGAAAAGCAGGATGTTTGATGCCCTTTTTTTGTTTTTCAATGAACTGGATCATGGTTTTAGCCAAAATACATTATAAACTAAGATCTCAGCATTAATCCAATCAGAGCGATGGCTAACGTCGCTGAATTTAGTTTTGAAACTCCTTTTAAAGTGGCGCTTCTGTCTACTAAAGCTCTGCTATCATAAAAGTAGTGGTAAGATATGTTTGTAGCGCCTCAGAAGTAATATAACAGGGAGAAAATCAGTATATTCTGACAATATCTAATCAATAACACTTCAGCACTATTTGAATATTTGTAAATCTTGTCAGAGGATGTCCTTTGCTGATTGGCTCTGCTAACATACTGAAGGAATACCTGATATATGACTAATTAAATTATTCAGATGGTAGACTCATTGAAACAAAGCTAAGTTTAACCTTATGGTATTTACACAACCGTTATTTATATTCAGCAGCTACACAAGTACAAAGCACTGTCTTTTGTGTCACATGACTCTGCACCTATGAAAGTTACCAGTAAAAGTAGGGCAGTAGGAGGGCCGACTGTTGCCTCTTGCTAAGCACTTCACGGGTTAAAGCCTCTGTGAGCAGGGATGGGGGGTGAGGAGGGTAAGGAGGGACAGTGAGCCCTGTGTCTGCTGGAAATCAATCACCGCTCTTCATCTGTGAACCAGCGGGCTTGGCAGGGTTTCTGCTGCTCCGTACCAGCTTGTCTTCTTCTTCTTCTCGTTTGCGTTTACTCACTGCTGTGTGTGTGACGTGTTGTTGGTTCATCGTATCCACAGCAGAGAGCTGAGTGACAGTGGCAGGGAATTGGGTCAAGGGCACGCTTGCTTCTCTTGGCTCCGGAATGGTCTTATCACCCAAACAGGGGCTGTTAATCCTCTGTCAGCATCCACGGGCTTATAATCGATAGTTAAAATGTGCGAGGGATATAATTCAGTCCAGAGTGGAACTGAAACTGACAAAAACTACCTAGCAGAAGCAAAATTCTTAAAACCACACCAACCAGTTCAGTAATGTTAAATATATCACTACTAAAGCTACGCTTACTGCTATTATTAGCAAACAGCTAAATCATCATTCCCCCAACTTGATGAATGACATTCTAAGAAGCTGAAAAACACAATGACCAGGTGACAGGTATTGACAGCTATCATACCTGTTTTGTTTTGACAATTGAAGCGAAAGGAAAAGTTTAAAGGTTTGCATCTTTTGAACTCTTTAGAACAGTTTGAATTTCTCTTAAGTTTTTATTTCCTTTTGATTTCATCGCTTTATTTGCTGTAGAGAAAACACAAACCAGGCAAGCTTTTTGTTTGGATTACTTTAAAAAGTGTACCGTAGCAGTCGTAACCTTTTACTCCCTTCTTAGTTTTCATATGAGCCTTGGCCTTATTATTATCTTCTTACAAAAATGTCTAAAACTGGGCAGGATGTGTGCTGCTTTGGGAACTGTTTGCACCTTTTTAATCCATTAAGCCCGGTTATAAAAAGACACAAGCCATTATGTTTGCCCTTTTAATTCCTTCTGATTGCAGCAGGTTATCACTTCTGGGCATTTTAAACATAGATGTTAAGCCAAGCGTGCATTCAGCTAGTTGCAGACAATCCTAGACGAAGCTGACTATGGGAAGCTGTCCGTGAGCCGCTTAATGTCTGGAGACATTGCCCGTTTACCGCTTTGTTGATTCACTCGCTGATTACAACAGCTCAGCCTTTTCCTTCCTCGTGAAAGCTCTCGTATCGTTCTCCTTCAAAGAAAAGTCGCAGATATGAGATCATGTGTGGGCTCCTGCGCAATGGTAATTTTTTTTGTCTTGTTGTTTTTGAGAAAGCCTTGCTGTCACGTGGTTGACTCACTCAGTAACAGAAGCACTTGAAGTGATGGAAAAAGAAAAACTGGTGAAAGATGATAGTACCTTTTGTCCACATCTGTTTTGGGACTCCCACTCCCAACATAAGATCTGTGATGGTCTGTTTCCAATGACCTTTGCCAAATGGGTACATGTTTATACATTCCTTGTGTTAAGGAGTTAAAATACCAAACAGAGCCTGCATGACATCATCCAGAAGTTGTTCAGATTAAGTCAGTTAAATAGATTCAATCCCATGACTTCTCTTTGATATTTACCCACACATTATGTTCACCCATCACACCCCTCCTGACCACACTGGGCAAACACTACGATCAGTCTCTTTGTAGTTTTGGTGTTTGATGCATGTACAGGAAAACAACAACACCACATCTGCTTTTCTTAGTGATTGCTTCCTACTTTCGAGACATGTCAGCCTTACTTGCATCATTCCTCGCACCACCAGTGCATGTGTTCAGTGTTTATGTTGCTCACTTGGTGACTGATACATGGGATACATTGTCTGCAGCACTCAGGCTCATGTGCTTTAAAGGCATTCTGGCAACAGTAGTTTGATTTTCCCAGAGATGTAAAAGCAGCTTTATTCGTATTCAATACTGTTAGTTACATTTAAGGCTCGTTCATCAATAAAGCGATTTTGCTCTCTGTCTCTAATAGCTGCATTATTCCCGAGTGCATTCCTGTAATGTAAAGTGAGACTTTTTTATTTTCTAGCTCTGCTGCAGACTCTTTGCCTCATGATTGCATCCTGTTATTTTCAATACCATTGTTTCCCACATCCTACTGCTGTGATGTTATTAACAGAGACTGCATACACAGTACAGCATCTTTATTACCTCTGGTTTAGTCAACAGTACAGGACCGTGTGGAGAAGTGACCGAAAACAGAGCAGAGAGGGGTGGGTGCTTGAGCTGCCGCTGTAGTGGAGCGCTGTGTTTTTGCTACATTACATTCCAGGTTACGCCCTGTTTTGCTTTAGCTCAGACGCTGCTTGCATCAAACCTTTGTTACGCAACCGAGAAGTCCAGTCATAGTCACGTCCAGGGTGGGGATCACAGCTTGATATATGTGGGTAATTGCTTAATATTTTAACCTATTCTAATATTAGTCATTTCCTCCCTTTTGTTTCTTTTATTACCAGACAAAGAGAAAAATTGAAGCCCAGGATGGACATCTGATGATTGTCCAGATCCTTGAATATACAATTTTACAACTTCCATTGTGAATCGTATCATGCAAAAACATTGTAATAAAATATAATTTATTCGATGTGTAATGATACATAAGTGGATTACATCATTTAGGTCAAGATTAAGTGCCATATTGGACTTCAAATTCATTTTGTCTGTCTTGCCTCCCAGTTCTGTCATGAAATGGTTTGATAATGACGCAAAGCGAAACCAAACGAAATTTCTAAGCGTTTCCAGAAAACAAGAGAAAACCCTCATAGAGAATAAGAGGACATTTTCCCTGACTGTTTCCAACACGGCTCACAGCTCCGATTTGTTTACATTTTTTTTTTTTAGTTAGATTTTTTTTATTCCTGAGCATTCATTTCAGGTCCACAGGTACAGCAACAAAGTGTGAGTCGTCAACAAACAGTCTTCTTTTTGTACATTTATGCCGTCAGTTTATTCGCACTCACAGGAGGGCGTATGAAATTGTATTTGATCAGAATACACTTCCCAAAATATCCTTTGAGTGTTCTTCTGGCAACTTCAGTGTTTGTTCTGCTACTAAAAAGGCCTCAGCGGGCCTTCCTGCTTAGACCCAGTGCCAGCTTGCCCCAAAGAAATATGTTTGTAATCGTTTCCACGGAATTTGATTTAAGCACCAAGCCAAAAAAATGTGAGTGCTGTGCCACGCCAGCATGTCCTCAATAAGTTAGATTGCTGAGATATCTAGGAGGATTCAAAAAGTCGAGCATCTACTGCATTACTCTTCTTTTCTTTATCCGTGTGTGTTTTTAGTGGAGCGGGACGTATAGTCATACAAATGTGTGCTAATATTTGAGTTTACTCGATTTACTCATGTACTAAACTGTAAATGAGTAAAGCTGTAGATGGACACAGTATAAATTGAAGAATGTGATACAGTAAAGACTTTTACTGGCTCCAGGACTGCAGTTGGAAGACTGAGAGGGGTCAATTATACTGCAGAGCAGAGCTTGCATCGATACCAAAATCAATACCAATATTTGGTAATTAAAAAAGTCCAATATATTCTCCAATACTTTTCGTTTTCTTTCAAACACATGAAACATAAATGCATTTCAATATCATTTGTTTGCGGCGTTCCGTGCACCTGTTGCTGAGCAACAGGACATCAACACTCATTCAACATGTTTGACTGGTGTTTCTCCCACCTCTTCTTTACCTTTTTTTTTAAATTAACTATTAGCTATTAGAAATCTAGATAATATTGGCTGACTATATCAGTGAGGGTCAATATATTGGTCAGGATCAACTCTAGAGAGCATCTCAACTGATTCTCTGCTTTTGGTAAAGACTCAGTTAAACATGCAGCTCAATGGGGAAGTTCCTAATGCAAGTTTTCTGGAAAGTACCTTCCACCTATATGCACAATATTTACTTTGTATAGGAATCGGGATATATGTTAAAGTGAAGCTCATATCAGGTCCTGCATAAAGAGCTTCTCTGTCAACTCTCATTATTCTGGCCAAACATTCAATCAATATGCAGCACAAAGACACCAGTCATCTGGTGTCTTTTTTCTTTCTTTCAGTATTACCAGAGAGCTACCCTCGGGTTGTTTAGGTAATGGTTAGTTAGGGCTAAGGTCAAAGTAAAGGGAA